TCTTCGTAGTGGCCGATGTCAGATGAGCCCTTTCAGGCCGACGTTCCTGGTCTGTTCCCCAGGATGTGCCTGTTTCCCATTTCTGTGTTTGTACACTGAGCACTTAGAAATTAAAGTTAATTTACAAAAGCTGTAGAAAGAGAAAATAAGTTCCTTTGGTTACTTAGAAACGCTCACTTAGCTTCTCAAATACGCTTTCACTGGTAATGTCTTTTGCAGAGTATGACCCTCCTGGCTATCTCTACCAAGGGGCGGAGATCAACGGGCAAATGATTGAGTACACCCCGCCAAAAGCCGAGTCAACGGCAGCCTCCACGGAAACTTCATGAGCAACGGCGGCCTCGGCAACGGCTGTCCGCATGTCCATCATCAAGTTGCTAATGGAGTTAACGGGATGGTGAACGGAGGAGCTGGGCTGTACCCAGGGCGCACCAGCTCCCTGTCCAGGACGCACGTGGACTACGAACACCCCCACCATCTCGTGAACGTAAGCTCCTACAGCCGGTGGAAGGCTCAGCCTCGACCTCGGGATTTATTCCAGGCTGAATTCGGGTGGGGGGGAAGACTCATCCATTGATAACAGCCAGTTCCACTAAATTACTTATCCCAGAGGAAGCAACTGGGCTGATATTTCTGATGCAAACATCATGGTTTTCATTTGAGAATATCAGATGACAGCAAGAATTCCACTCGCTCTGGGAAATCTGCCTCTGCCCTCCCCTCCTTAACAGCATGTAAGCGCTGAGAATGCTGCAGTGCTGGGCTGAGATACTTTGCTCGTACATATGGTATTTCTCAATCTTCAAGTTAAATAGATTTAATTATAGCTGCTTATTCTGCAGCTTTATGGATGGCCCATTTTTCCCCCACCTGTTTCAGATCTGTAACTCTAAGCAATGCTATTAATTATGGCAAAGCACGAATGTAGCAGGAGGTTCCATAAAATAAAAATGCCCCGTACATACATCTTGAAATGCAGCAACCTAAGAACGCTGTCTCTTTTTTTATTTTTTATTTTTTTCCTTCAGTCTCTTTGTGACTGTTGAGACAGGCTCATTTTCTGGTTTGAAACTTTAAAATAAAATCAAAACCTAATTTGCAGTCTGTGATCCAGCCTTTGTACGCTGTGGAAAAATATTTCATTTGCTGCAATGTGTCCCGTTTCCAAGAGAGAATAATGATTTCATTATTGTCTATGGAAACAGATGGCTTGCATTCAGACTTACTAAACTTACTCAAAACTGTGAACATTGCCCAGGAAAACTGAAAGAAAAAGTTCAAAAGTCTGAATAACCCATGCTGTTTCTGGAGAAAAAAAATGGGGCTATTGTTTGTCTTCGTAATTGAACACAAGCGCTTCGTTTTATTGAACAACAAATTAGCGCTTGCACAGTAGCTGCCGCTTCGGTTAACTCCAGCTTCCAGTCCAGACCAGTTGGTGCTCCACCTGATTCTGTCTTTGGTCTGCTCGTGGAGCAAGAAGTGCTGTTTTTTGGTTTCTCTCAAGAGCAGCCGAGGCCCAAACTGTGGCTTTTTTGGACCTGTCCGACCTCCCAGTGGGTGAAGCTCTCCAAAAGTCTCCAACTGTGCGAGCCCACGGGAGGGGAGGATTTTTGCAGTGCTCGAAAGCTCGGGGCTTCGCGCTGATGTTTTCTCCCTCCTATTTTTATTCTTATTTTTGGGGAGGAAGGAAATACGCGTGTGGTAAGACGGGTCTCGGTGCTTGGAGCTCCTCTGTGCCACGAGATGGGGCGCGCAACGCCGCTGTCTCCTTGCGAAGGATGGAGTTTTTCTCCCCCCCCCCTTGCTCCGTGTCGTAGAAAGTTTGAGTCACGCAATCTCAAGCACCGGGACTGGCACGCAGCGCAGAGGAACAGGATGTTCTCGTCCTCGTTAGGACACTCTTTATTGTTTCATTGATTGGGCTAAATGAGGAAGAGAGAAACTGGCCAGGATGGCAATCAAGACTTAATTAGGCATTTCCTCAGTGCTCCCTATCGGACCGAGCGGCCTCAAAAACGTCGGGATGAGGCCTTGTTTTTGCAGAAATAGGGATTGTTAGAAGCTACCTACCCCTTGAAAGCTCCAAAAAAAATCAGGTGAGCTCTCCCAAACTGGCTCCCCTCCCGAACCGCGGCGGGGTAGCCCGGCTCCGCAGCGCCGTTTGCGAGCGGCTCCCGCGTCAGTGTCCACCCAGCCTTTAACAATGAGGTATGTGTTAATCTGGGCATTTTTACTCGCTTGTAATGGCCCCTGCAGCCAAAACCAACAAGGCAAAATCCCTCTCACCCAGAGTCACTGCTGGCTGAGGAATTACCCCATCTGTAAAAATATTAAATGTTTCAAAAATCAGTGTAGCGGAGTCAACTGATCTAATCGGAGTAATTACAGGAAAGCGGGATGGGTTTATGTTGTGACATCAGCCCTGCCAATTTAATCCTCTGTCTCCCCAAAGGGGCACGGTTTGCTCACGAACAGCGATTCGCTTTCATGTCTGTCATCGGCGTTAAAAATAAACATATTTACAGTGTGTTTGTGAAATTAAACCTGAGCCTACGAAGCTGAAAACAGACCAGGGAAATTACCACATGCTTGTCTAAGCTGCAGATATTTACTTTTCTCTGACACACACGCTGGCAAGAACCCTCCGCTTGGCTTCGCATAATGGCTCAGTGTTGCCGTGCCGCGTTTCGGGGCGCGGATCCGGAGATCGATAAAGGTGATCGGAGTTGGAAAACCAAGCGAAAGGGTTTGAGCCCGACTGCCCCTTGTACGTTCGAACAGCGATTGATTTTTTTTTTTTTAATTATTCCTATTGTTTTTTCAATCTTCCCTGCTGCAGGGCGGCGGGATGTACACGGCAGTGCCGCAGGCTGACCCCTCGGAGTGCCTCAGTTGCCGAAACTGTCGGAACAACAACAGGTGAGGTGACACTCAGGACCTTCACGAGCGGGAGCCCTCACCCTGGGCGCCCGGTTAGAGCTGGGGCAAGCGAAAGCGGAGCGCGGAGGGTGCGGAGGAGCTCGATGCCAGCGCAGGGCTCGGGGAGCAGCTGGCGCTCTGCGGGATGCGGTAAAACGAGTGCTTAAAGACCCCCAGCTCATTTCGCTCCACATCTTCCTCTGATGATCTCTAGGCAGGTTGGCCACTGGGTGTTTGTGGTTTGTTGTTTTTTTTTTATAAACCTTATTTCCTATGGTTTTTTTCAGTTTTGAGATAACAGGATCATTCCACGTGGAGTCTGTCAGACAGGATTTAATTGACCTGCTGTATTTTACTTTTCCTGCCGTTCTCTTAAGAGCACCGGCGAGCCGGCGTCGTGTCGCAACGCTGTTCTGTGTACAGCGTGGGATCTGAGGTTCCTCAGGCCTGCAGGAGCGGTTTGGCCAGCCACTGTCACTGTGGGATGCTTGTTTTTCTGAGTGAAGAAAAGGATTCCTCTGTAGAATAAGGGAAAATCTGTCTTCTGCGTCATAGCTGGGAGATTTTTGTTAGGTTTTTCACTTTTGGAAGTTTTTAAACAATATCCTTCCAGGGTTCTGACTGAATCTCTGGTTATTTTAATGACTAAAAACAGGGCTGAAAGTCAGACATGCTGGACTGCTCTGACCGGTAAATTCTGGATTTTCTCAATCATACTTTGAGTTTTCTCTTATTAAAACTGTCGGCTGCCTTGAGGTGTACATCTGGAGAAGCTGAGTGGAAGTTCAGCTGCTGCTGAAGGCAGAAAACCCGTTTGCTTGATTTTCATGGGTTTACTTTTGAAAATCCAGTTTGTAATGGGCTTTCCAGCCTTCCTCCTTCCACAAACAGATGCGTGATGGCGTGGTGGAGGCGAGCTGCTCCGCGCAGGTAGAGCTGGGCGCAGGGGGAACGCGAGCTACCGCTGCGTTACCAGCCGGTTGTCCGTTTTCAAGGCAGGCTGGGTAACAGCAGCCACCCAGATGTGTACGACTGGCCGTAATTTGGAACATGCTGTATGTGTTACGCCGTAATTAAGAGCTTGCTTGCCAGTTTTAAGCATATTGAAATTTTTAATTGCGCTTTTTTTCTTTAGAAAGCAGGGAGAGTGGGTTCCATCCTCCGCAACTGCACTGTTCCTCCCAGATGGGTCATCGGCAGGGTCTGAACTTTGAATTTTCACATCCCTGTTCTATATTTGACTGCCTGATGGAGAAACAAGTTGTCCTTCACAGCTGCCTTACCCCGGAGGGGACCATTAACCTCCGCTTGGCTGCGCAGCCGGGACCGCTCCGCTCCCTTCCTGGTGCTGGGGGAATGGACGGAGGACATGGGAGAGGGGAACGGGGAGGACCGGGAACGTGCTGGAGCATTACACCAGGGGCCAGGGAGCTGGATGCATGGCCAGGAGGAGGAGGAGGAGGAGGAGGAAGGCCTGGTGGGTGAGTGCAGCCGTGTCAGTAGGTTTTGGCAAGCAGGAATTTGGGGCTGGAGGCTTTTCCCCATCCCTGTTCGACCTCGTAGCTGCTTTACGCAGGTCGGGGCCGTCCCCTCCGTCTGGTCTCTTGCTTGTGCCGTGTCCCACCCTCGAATTACCTCACCCTGCATGCTAAAACCAGGCAACTCCCCCCAAAAAACGTGGGAACAGGGGAAGGTGGGTGCCAGCGGAAGCATCTCCAGCAGGGTGACGGTCCCCAGCTCGCGAGCGTTTCGGGTGCCCGTGGCCTTGCTCCTACGTTCCACCTCGGCGCTGCGGAGAGGGACCTGGGTGTCCTGGTGGACGACAGGTTAACCATGAGCCAGCAGTGTGCCCTGGCTGCCAAG